TCAATCACCGATGCAGAACGGCTCCGAATCGGAGGGAGAGAGCGGCTGCATTTGCTAGGGAGGTGGTTTATCAGTGTGCAGCTAATAATGCTAACTCCTTGAGACATTCTGATACGAACCAAAAATCATCACGTACTATTAACAAGATGCTGGCTTCTTCTGATGTCTACATCGTGGCCCATAAGTTAACGCGCGACGAAGGCACAAATCGTTTCATTGACACCATTCTTACTACTGACTACTTCTATCCCAATCAGTCTCATTTAAATCGTTCAATTGTAGCGTGAATAACCGACTGTTTTGCTATGATTCATGTTACTTCGACAAATAGCTTCGTACGGTTGTAGTGCGCGTTGTTATGTTGTTATATTCGCCAGATACTCTTCGACGAGAACTAGCGATCTTCTTTACACTTTACGGTATGAACCGCAAATTGACGTCGTTCAAAAAGGAACTAAGAATTTCACCGATCGAATGACATCGATGTGTCGGCTACATCACGATGATAGGGTGGCTCTTCCATGCTCATTTCAACATCTTCGAATGCATCGTTAAGCGATCGAAGCAATACGCAAACAGCTTTTCTGTAAGATTGTACATATCGCGATTCTTGATGTTGCAAATTCTTCAAAGAAAGTGAGTACATCGATTTCTTACGATCTATTATTTTTACTTGTCCATAAAATTTCGTCGAACTTAATCGAATCCAGCACAGACTCGGACAGAAGTCGAGATACCACCGATTTCTTTCGAACAACGTTCTTTGATCATCCTATCATCGTTTCCTTTGATCGCGATATTCGAGGTAAAAATCTACTCAACACGCACAAGACACCGAGAAGCTTAGACGAGAGTCTTCTAGATACACGAGATATTCTAGATCTTAATGAAAACGACTGAAAGTAAAACGTTTTATTAGCCCACCAGGTAGTCGAGGAAATCGAGCGGTCTATTTCTGGATCAATTGCGAAAATTATTACTCACACTTAGAACATGTTATTGGCGTGTCTGTTCGACGGCAAATTGTTCAAGGTTTATAATGTAATCATAATTAACAATCTTTATAGACGTTTTTCAATATTTCTTGATAAATAAGCGAGCGACTCGATATGCGATCCGTTCATAAATTGAGAAAGAAGACGCACGTTGGAGAGGATAATTTGAGAAAAAAGGAGGAGAAATAAAAAGTACTCAATCATCGACTCCCCATTTTATATATAACTGTCGAATTTCTGGCTTCTACGAGATCATAGATGTTACATGATCATTCGCTAGCCGCTATGATCTTCTAAACGAATAATTATATATCAGTGAAACTTGTTGATTATTCCAGCGAACGCTTAATCAATAGACTCAAAGAGAAAGGATATTTCAATTAAGAAAAATATTAAAGTTGCGTCTTCTTTCTACCACAAGATACACACAAACACACACGCACGAACATATGGATACATGAATGCGGACGCAGGAATTAGTATGAAAAAAATGTGTGCATTAATTCATGAATCTATCTCATGCGTCACGACGTGGGGACAAGATAATATATCGAGCGACGAAATAATATATTGCTCGTGTTTCATCGAGGAGACTGAACGCTTCTAAGTACGCCAATGTTTAATCAGAATCGAAACAAAACAAAACGAAATATAGTCGAGCTATAATAATAATGTTACTGTGCCAGGTATAACATGAAGCGCTTTGGAGGAAAATGCATAGCGAGAGCCTCGTTAATGAAGAGGGTAATAAAATTGGCTTGAGCGCGATTCAGTCAGTGGTTCCGTCAGCGATAATTGAGCGTGCCATGGGAGAAGTGGGCGAATTTTCAATCTGCTAATGAAAATTTAGAGAAAAAGAAGAAAAAGGAGAAATGGTAAACATTTGCGGTGGGAGGAACGCGAGAATGAGAAAATCCCGCTTGTCACATGGCTGAAGCCGAGAGCGAGCGTGGCGTTTCCCTTGGCGTCGTCGTTGTACATTGATGTGATGAGGCTTTTATCTGGAGAAAACGATGAAAAGAGAACGAAACGTGGAACGGCAAATTAAGTGATACGTTGTAATTCATTAATCCGCTGTGCTTAACGCGAACTCTACGTGCACTAGCACCGTTTCTTCTGAACGTTAAACTGTCTCTCTAGCGCAGCCCCTTATCTAATAACGTGTCGTGTAGCGTTGATTCGCACCGTCGTGTACTGCAGCGTGTACTGCGAACACCCGGAAGTTCTCTGGTACGAATTCCAAAGGAACTTTACTTATTTTCACATATCGAAGATACGTACGCTACTCGTCACGTTCGATACTGTTCGAGGAAAATATAGTCGTTGAAGGATATATCGTACTAGCTATTGGACTAGAAACTAAATTTGAAAAGCGCCTAAAAGATATCGGTTTGGAGAAAGGATTTGTACCATACGACTTCACGGTGAACGCAGAGCGTATATTTTTCTTTCATTCGATCTCGTGTTTCGCGGAGAAGACACTCGGCTGCGGACTCCTCGACCGGGAAATACGGTTGTAGCTCGACGTAGGATAGACTCACTTAGACATTTCCGTAAGGAGGGAATAACTTTGTCTTATATACTTGTCTTTATCGCCTAGCTCGCGATGCTCAC